TATCAGTCTGACATCTACATTTTTTCTTTTTAATCGGATTTACATTTGTAAAAGATTTTTTTTTATTAGATGCATAATTTCAGGGAATTTATGAATATTATAAAGTATATGATTGCTTTGAGTACTAAGGAATTTTTAATTAATAACGGAGAAAAATTTTAGGGGCCTACAATTGTTTTTTCTTTTTTTAACTTTCCGCTTTTAATTTTTCTGTAATTTTAATAAGAGTTTTTGTTAGTGTTTATGACTTAATATCTCCAGATCAAGCCTAAAAATAGTATTAAAAATCTCTAACAGAGGGCACACGATCGCTGAATCTTCTCACTAAAAGAGACTTAAATTGTAAGATATAAATGATTTTTTACACTTTCTAAAAAATTTTTTTATCACTGGTTTTTACTTTAATTAATTATTAAACCAATTTTTGTTTAAATTATAATGTTAACATATTTTTAGAAGAAATAAAAAATTGAAAAATTTTATGAAAAGTTTGTTTATTTTTATAAATAAATTAAAGATATAGTATATAACCAGATCAAACCGTATCAGAATATTTCTTCACCAGGCCAAAGATTATTTGAAGCAGATGTACAGAAATTATTATATATTCTTCATAAATTCAATGTTCTGGCAAATAGTCGGGAAAAATGATGAACTCAATCATTTATTTTAGCTCGGTTACTCAAATGAACCATTGAAAACATAATTTTACCATTAAATACTCAGAAGCTATTTAAAAATCCATATTACATCAGAAATAATTATTATTTCAAGATTTTTAATTTTAGATTCACCTCGAATATTAAATATTATTTTAGTAATAATTAAAATAGAGGTAATTTAAATAGTATAAAATTAATATGCATCTTTAGATAATTGACGCTTGAAAAATTATTTTTGTTCTATTTGTGAAATGCATACCTGGAAAAGCTGTCGGACGAAAGCTCCATCCACAGCTAAATATTCATAAGAGATTTTTCGTGGCTGCATAATTCCGTATAAAATTATCATTCGTAAACGACTCAATATTGTTATAAAAGAAAAAAAAAAAAATTATATTACAAAGGTAACAAACGCTTGTGAAAACAATAATAAGTTTTTATTTGAATGGCATTATTCTCGATCGCAATTATTTTTCTCCGAGTTTTCATAAGTGTAAACTCGTTCATTTAAATTATCTTTTATTTATAGAATTTTAATAATATAAATAAATTTATCACTAACAAAGAAAAGTTAATTTGTGTAAAGCAAAATTAAACCGGCAGAGCATACTAAATTAAACGAATGATATTTCCTCTGTAGTAATACAACCAGAAATCGACGTTGAAAACTTAAGTTTGTCTGAGTTTAATTGAGCTAAGAACTTTTCGTCTTCCATTTGTCCATCTCCTCTTCTGTTTACTTTGTTTATTTTCTTGCGTTTTGTTTACAACTTTATAAACCAATTTCATAATTATTCACTCCACCATCTCACATTTCATCTACTTACATTAATGGAAAAAATTCAAGATGAAAAATAAATTTTAAAGTTAAGTAATAAAACCTCTCAGCAAAATAATGAAAAGCTAGAAGAAAAAATTTTAAGTTTTTATTATTATATAAATATAAAAATGGATTTGTTCAGGTGGTAGTGTAAAATAGTTGTTGAAAGTGCAATATTAATCTTGTCTATTCTTCAGTTTTTTACATTGAAATTGGTGTTATTAAAGGTAATAGCTAAAGTTGCGGACTTTATTACACCAGATTCTCTTACAAGTTACGACTTATTGCAGCAATTCGTTGCCAACTAATATCCACGTGCGTCTTTTTATGGTTCGTGAAACACATTTCCGAGAAAAAAAATTTTTAAATAACAATAATAATGATCACAATAAACTTGAGCTTAATTGATCCTAGAAAGAACGTGTGCAAAGAAATTAGAATAAAAATAATTTCAAAAGCTGTAAAAATGGTTACTTTTTCTCCATTCACTCAAGTTTACGATCATGCAGGTCGCGACTACACTGAAAAATCAAGTTTTAACATTATTCATCCAACCACGTCAGCGGCAGCTTTGGTTACAAACGAACTGAAAACTAACCGACAGAACTGAGCTCTTTTGGGGTTTACTTTAATAAATCATGCAATGTTTTACGGTGACGGCTTGCTAATACTTTTTTGTTTTTAAGAAGGAAAGTTTTTTGCTTCAAGGAGCCAAAAAAAAAAAAAATTATACAAGAGAAATTTATCGAAAAATTTATTACTAACAAAAAATAAACTTATGATATATTATTATTAACCGATTCGTGATTGATTCAGAATTTCTTGAAAAGTTAAAAAATTTTTTAACTAAAAACTGATCAAATTTTTTTATTGAATTTTTGAATCAAATTAATTTTTTTTATCAGTGCAAATATAAAATGCAGTATATCTTTCAAAGATTTTAAGAAAAAGCCACTAAAAATTTTCCAAAAGAAATTAACAAAGTAATAATTCAAATTTTTAATGAAATCTTCGAGTCCCTTTTTTTAAAAATTGTATTCATAATATCTTAAAAGACAATTTTTAAAAATTCCTATCCGAGCTTCACAAAAAGAAATTTTGACTTTTTGGAAGATTTTATTCAACTATTAATAATTGTCAACTTAAATTCAACAAAACATTACCAAAAATATTTTTGTGCCGCTTGGATAACAAACAAAAGTTTCCGTCATACCCAAACTTGACTCATATCCTAACCGATTATAATCAATGATCACCCGAACAATAAAGCGTAATAATAATAATTTGTTTGTTTTGTTGAAACCGAGGATTTTATCGTATTTTAGCGGCGATAAATAAACAAGAGCATAAATCTATACTATTATAGCGAAATCGATATCGAAGGGCCACAGATAAAAATAATAATATAAAATAGGAATGTGATTGTGAAACAAAATGGCATGGGCATATAAATCAGTTGGCATGTCATGAACAACTGCCCGAGTACAGTGCATGTATGAAGTGCTGAGTAATTAATTTAAAATCAATTGACTTGATCGTTTTGTCACGATCTCGAGTCTCTGGTCTCTGCTCTCCGTAGGGGAAAAAATAATATTCTGTCCGGCACATCGACAAGTTTGAATCGAATGTAAAATGACGTACGCTCGAATTGACTTCGCCAGCCGGAAATATAAACATTATACAGAATAATACAATAGATTTCGCCATGACAAATAGAATGGATTTTATTTTATTTATCTATCTAGTAGTGGCGCGTATTAACAATTGAAATTATTATTATTATTCTGTATAGAGGTCTATAAATGGAAATAATGGGGCCAATGAGACGCCGAGGGTAGTTCTATTCTACGTCATCACGTAGTTGTCGTAGTTGTTCAGTACACCCGAAGATAATCGAGTTACACTATCGACCACTCCTATATAGAGCTGCTAAGTATAGTAAGCCTATAGTCACTTTTAATTAATGCAATTTGCAATGCCGTTAGCTCGGTGCAACACGTGCAGATTATCTGCTAAATCTTTCTCAATCCTATACTATCTGCAAATTAGAATACAAAATTCCATTCTATACCCCCCCCTCCTCTCTCTCTCTCTCTCTCTCTCTCTCTCTCTCTTTTACGGTCTCTGTAGGCATGTAGATGTAATTTATAAATTTTGTATTTTCATCAGTATAAGTGGATTACCGGGAACCTGATAACGACTGTTTATTACTCATATTACCACCCTCAATGTTCGTTATACTGATTAAGGCTCATAGTTTAATTTCATTTAAATTGGAAATTATAATTAAGATGCTGGAGAAATTTTTATCATTACTTTTTAAGTTATCCTCATTGCTCATTTTCGGTCTATAATTTATTTAAGAAATAAACTTACCGAAATGCAATTATCAATTTTAAATTACTCGCTCAATAAAACAACAAAGTTTATTTCAAGATTATCGCTTGTTACTGAAATATTGAGAACTTCACCTCTGAAACTTTGAGTGCTCATCGAAAGAACTTATATTTAAAAATTTAATTTATTGACACATAGCTGATAAATTTCTCTTTCGTAAGATTGAAAATTTTTCGCTAATGATTTATTAAATAAAAAAAAAACATAAATTATTTATGAGTTGGGTTGGTTATAATTTTTTATTTATAAAAATTGAAAATATATTTCAAGGAAATTTTAGAAATTGATCAATTTATGTCATACATGCATAAACCCATAAGTATTTTTTTTATTTTATAAATATTTTTATGAAGGCAGTACCAAATAGTTTTATTTTGTCCCGCACTTTTACAAACGTAGCTCTTATGCTTATGACCTCTGACAACCTTAATTCTTTTACGGATAATCTTAGTAGAATTTTTTTTTTTATTAAATAAAAAAAAAATAGAATAGTTATTCATTTAAAAATGATAAAATGCGTATTAATCAAAGATTTAAAAATTAATATAATCTTTTTCCTTAGTTTAATGTAACAAATAAATTTTAATACTTAAAAAAAATAGCCTCAATATTTTTTTTTATTTCTACAAGTAACATTTTTTGATATACTTTTTGATATATTTTCTAAAAAATAATAATTTATTTTTTAAGAAATCCTGCAAATTGCCATATAAAAGTTAATGTCAGTAACATTGAAGTAATTAATTTTATTCAATTAAATTTAGTGATGTTAATTTATTATTTTCTTACTTTTTATGTTAAGATTTATCAACAAAATAATCTTTATCAAAATTTAGTTAAGTATTCCATTGTTTTACTTTCTATAAAAATTAATATTTACAAACTTAAACTTGAGATAAATTGTTTGGAGTATACATTAGTCATTTTATTTATAAAACTTCTCTCAGCAAATTAAAAATTTATTTTAATTTAAAAACTCCATACTCTGAAAAAAAAAAAAAAACTCCGTATTTAAATCCTTCCATCTTTCTTAAGAATTAATAAATTAAGAAAATACCAAACTTGTAATAAAAAAAATAATCACTCTGAACCAACACAAGAAATAAATAAAAATAATCCAAAACTTTTGTTATTACAGTGGCTGGGCCTGGGTATAATGGCAGTTGGAGTTTGGGCATGGAAGGAAAAGGAAACGTTCAGCAATCTTTCCCGACTTACCAACGTGGCACTCGACCCGGCATTTATCCTCATTCTAGTCGGTAAGTACTTATATACCCTGAAACTGTACGTCTATATAGATTTACCGAATCCACCCCTAGGTATTTTTTCCCAATACAATAATAGCAACTCGGAGTTTCGAAAAAGTCGGACATGCCACGATCGATAGCGGACCACGAGGGACTAAACGGAAAGACGGAGTTCCCCGGAACCAGACTGTCTTTCAATACTTACTCGCATCAACTACCCTCGAGAAATAAACCACCCTTCTCCTCCTTCTCCTTGGCCACCACAAGCGCCCGGACCGTCTGTATACCACGGATAGATAAAGATCCTGTGTATAACTAACGCTCGAGGACGAAGGAAAAGTGCGAGAAAATAAACGGCAACTGTTTTCACCCCCAAGCCAAACTGAGAAACTTGTCAAGTTCCGGAAGTACAGATTCTTGTTCCCGGCTTCTTCTGCACCCGCAACTCCCACCCTCGCCATTAATATATCAAGAGAAGTTGATTCGTTTCCCTTCGGGCTATTTAATCAACCATTCGATTTTTCCTTTGGTTTCTAATTTACTTACTTTGATTAACCATTTTATTTCATTGGGAAAGCTCGTAGCCTCCAGATACCGAAAGGGGCGAATTTTCTGACCACTTTTCTCTCAACTTGAAAATAAAATCCAGAAGACAAAAGTACGTTCAAGGGCTCTTAATTTATAAATTAATCACGCAACGACTCAATTGCGGAAGCTCGAGGAGCTCTTTACTAAAGCACTCATATTTTCTAGTGAATTACTGTCCTCATTACTGAGTTAATTTGTTTTTACTGGTTTTTTATATGCACGGTAAAAAAGGGACGGAAAGAATTGTTATAATTTGAGCAAATAAATTTTATTAATAAAGATCCTCAAGTGCTTTAAATTAGATTCGTTGATGTCATTATAGAGAAAAGAAAGATCAATACTCATCCAAGAAACTGTCAATTGACTATTGATTGTCTTGTTGAGAACTTTGTTAACAGGATAGGTCTTGAAAATCACGATTGATCTACTTGATTTTTTTCTTTATTAGTTCTGAATTTGTCAAACACGGTACCCTTTAAAAAGTCACTTTTAAAGTCTTTTATATTGTCTAGTTTTGTTGAAAAAACTTTTAATATTTTTCAATGAGAAGATGTATATGAAAAAAATGATGTGTGAAAATTACAGAAATGGTTAAATAAAATTGTTAATTTTTAGAGCAATAAGAAACTAAAAATATGACTTACACGTATGAAAAAATGTACGCTGGAAAAAAAAAATTAGCTTAATTAAAGAGCAAAATTCTTGAATCAAGAATAACATTTAAAAGAATTTGGTTATTTTATTTTATTTGAATGCCAAGTAAAGGCAAAAGCCGAATGGCAAAAATACAAAAAATTTTGAATGTAAGCACACGTACATACAGAGTATAAAAAATTATCATGATATGTATATTATATATATATAAGTAGATTAAAAGCAAATATAAATCAATTATCTTAAATTGAGTTCAAAAATTTTCCCCGCTTTATTTTAGATTTTTTCTATTTGATTCCTGATGATCAAACTCTTCAAAGTGATAATTTTGGTCAAAGAATTTTGCTTTTGAACCAATTTAATTTTTTTATCAGTATGTCGCAGATCGACATTTAAACAGATTGGTTAAAAGTACAGAATATTCGAACTATTAAAATAATTTTGAGTTGAGTAAAATGATAATTTTTCGGTTGGACATCGACTAATTTAAAAATGTTGATGGGCAATAATTAATGAAATTATCTGGGGATCGAATAATAAAAGATTATTGTGAACTGGCGAGTCTCTCGCAGAACTTACGCTCTCAGTAATGGTGTAGTATATTCTGCTCGGGCGAGTAAGATGTAATTTTCGAGGTGAAACTTGTAAAAAACTGGATAGTAATAAATTAACACCCGTTTGCAACGTTAACGGATTACGTGCCGGGATCGCGGACTTAGAGGACAGAGAGCACCGAGTGATACTCGGGCAGAAGAGAGAGACAGTTCGCCAGATAGAAAAGCTAAAGTAGCTGAACAAAAATGAAGTTACGAATATCAAAAAGTAAAACGAGCTTAACGACTTTAGAGATTAACTAACGAGCTTTAGAATTGCGTCTTTCTATACATATATATTGGTATATTTTACAAATAAAACCAACGAGACTTTAAGAAAAGAGGATTAACTGTAATTGTTCTTTATAATCGGGTTAACTTTTTTTCCCTTTTAATTTTTCTATTATACTTGAAATATTATCTGTTAGTAATTTTAATTGTCTGATCATTCAATTACCTTTAGGAATAATTGTAATTTAAATAATCTGATAATTGTTTCTTTAAAAAAAATACAGGGATTAACGCTCCAACTTATTCTTTTGCTCACTTTAGACGCCAATTCTTGAGCTTACAATTTTTAATTATAAAAAATCAGCAAATTTAGTCAAGAAAGTTTTCAAAAATTATAAAATAAATTTCATCTAACAGAAATATTAAGTTTTATTTTTCGGAATTCTACTTAAACTTGTGTGAAAATTCTAGGAGATTTTTTTTTAATTTTTCTTTTAATCGAATAAATTTCTAAACTCAATTAAAAATTTTTAAAATTTCCACGTCAAAAAAAAAAAATCAGGTGAAAATTAATTACTAACAATAATAATAACTTCAACTTGTATAAAAATTAATTTTTACCTACTTAATTATTCGATAGTATTTTGACCTCACGACAATCAATAAAATAAAAATGAAAAAAATCTAATTAGCGCGGAAATAAAATAAAAATTTACAACACTGTTAATTAAAAAAAAATTTTAATTAAAAGAAAGATCAGTCAATAAACCAAAATAATAAGGGTATTAATTAAATAGAATATTAAAGTAAAATTAATTATCTAAACTTGAGAATTCTGAAAGTACTTAGATATTAATTTGGTGATGTAAATGCTTCTCGTCAGCAGAACTTTGTAATCTCCTATCTAATCACACAAGTTTTGATAGCTTCTGTATAAATAATGTTAATTAAACGGCATTTCATTTAATCACTGACCCGAATTATTTATAATTAATTTCCGGTGATGGTGATAATGATAACAAAAATATTTAATTTAAAGTTGGATAATTATTTGGGTCTATAGTTATAGGGCATCGTTATCGACATCTGGAGGCAATTAAAGTTAATTAGCGGACCGTGATTTTCAATAAATTGATCATACACTTACACGATGTGAACATGACGTGCTAACTTTATCCCCGCACTATACACCTTCTTAATGCTTGCATCAATGCACGCCCGCGTTTCGGGGTAAATCTCCTTCTTGGACGTACTCTACAACGTCAAACACATGAATCTCATTTAATTTCTATTTAACGGACGTGTCATTGTTCCTCCTAAATTTGACTGTATTGATTCTCTGGTGGTACTTGTTCTATATAATTATATCGCTTTTTGATACTTTTCTTTTATCTTCAAAAAGAATTTCGAAAATTGAATTTTTTTTTGTATTTTTATTTTACAGTTAACTAGAATAAATTTTTTGAAAAAACTAAAAGTAACTTTTCTGATTAACTCAAGATAGGTGACTACCTTGAAAGGCTAAAAAATGAAACATTTTCAATAATTTTTTTTCCAAGCTTTGTATAAGATATTACAATGATTTTTTTGAACTTTTATTTGAAGCTTACAAAATACAAAAATACTTGATATTACTTGAATAATTTTCACAGTTTTTAACCTGAACCATAAATATTGTTTGCTAGATGTTTTGCCAATAAATATTTACCGTACCGCTCACCTGATGAACCTCAACTTAATCCAACATCGTACCAATATGAATTTTCACTGCAAAAAAAATACAAAAATTTATATTTATCCATTTTACACACTAATACACTTTTTAAAATTTTTCTTTAAATTCAAAATTTATTTCTCATTAATTAATTTTGATGTTACAAAAGATTTTGATTGACAGAATTTTATTGTAATAAAAATAAAAAATTTAGAGCTAGAAAAAATCTTTGTATAGTAATTAAACTATTAGAAAACTTACGGTGTAACATTGAAGTTACCTGAAGTAGAAACTGCCATTATAACTAAAATCAATAGAAGTAACCATCCGAATACTGATTGCCTGAACATTGTTGTATTAATTTTCCTATGCGACTCCGTTAAAAACAAGGAAAATTTCCAATGCTTATATTAGATTCTGAAATCTAATTTATATAATATAATTTTGTTAAATTTATATTAAATAAAATATTTCAAACACCATCCATAGAATTGACAAAAAATATATATTGTATTAAAATGCTAAAAACTTTTCACAAAATGTTGTTTTCTTCAAACTTGTTATAAAATAGTTTGACTTTAAAAGGATATAACTTCTCTAATTGTTTTTTATAAATAATAACATGAAGTAGTTTTTAAAACTGAAAAAATATACTGCGATTCATAACTACGACTAAAATATCTTTATATATATATATATATATATATATATATATATATATATATATATAAAAATTCGAAGCAATGTCACAATTGTCACTTAATCATATTACGTTTTCGTTGACATTATTTAACAACGTATTTAAATACATACAGGTGTTTCATTTATAACTTTAATATCAAAGCGCATACGTGAACAATTGATAATTCAATGTCTACAAGCGAAACTTTTATCAATTGAGTATAATCTAATAAATCTATTTTACATTTTACATTAAGGAGACGTCTAAGCGAAACTAAGTTTCAAATTAATTTTAAAAAAATTCAACTCTAAATATGTGATGTGATGATTTATGATATTTTGGTCATAAAAATTTGATCTAGAATATTGTACTAATAATAATAATATTCAATAAATGAAGATTGATTCACTAAAACTTATATTCTGAATTTCAGGTACAGTTACTTCGGTAATTGGGTTCACGGGATGTGTGGGTGCGCTCAGGGAAAATACATGTCTTCTTGCAACGGTAAGCATTAATTCATTCATTAATATATGTATCATATTTCCGTATGTATATTCCATTGAAAAGATAATTTAATTAAATAATTATTTCAGTACGCCATATTTTTGGGAACATTATTACTACTAGAAATGACGATTGGAGTGCTGGGATTCATCTTCAAAGACTGGGTAAATATTAAATATTAATAAACATATTAAAAAAGGCGGCTGTTTGAGTTAGTGACATCGTTGAAAAAATAATTAATTGAATCTTTTTCGCTGGTTATTAAATAAAATATGGAAAGTACGTTGATTAAAGGACGATTCGGTTAAAATAAAATATACAAAAAGCACAATCAAGTTTAATTTAATGATGACATATACGTAAGCATAAATTTCATCGGTGGAAAATTTTCGTATTCACTCTGTGAATACAAGAGCACTCAACGTACGACGATGATAAAATATAATATGAAAATAAAATTATTTGATTAGCATATAAAACAAAATTCTATATTATTATTATTATTATTATTATTATTATTATTATTATTATTATTATTATTATTATTATCATTATTAAAAATTTCAAATGGCTATCTGAATAATAATCTTGATTATTATAACCGATTTTGAATAAAAAATGTAAACTAAAAATTTTTCAGATAAAATCCCAAGCAACAGGAGGCTTTCAAGCGTTTATAATTCACTACAGAGATGATCCTGATCAACAGAATCTCATCGATTGGATTCAAGAAGACTGGGTATGTAAATTCTCATTTTATCTTTTAATAATACCCATCTAAAATTCATCATTTTTCAAGAATATAATGTTTAATAATTTATTGTCCTAAATTCTGCACGCGCGTTCAGACATTCAAATTCAATCTTTGATAGCTTTAAAAATAGTCGTATGAAAATGAAAAAATTATCATTTTAAAACTTTAAATACATATTTTACAAGTAGATTGTTGTTGTGCATGCTAATTGTTTTTTTTTTTTTTTTTTTTTTTTTTTTTTTTCTAATAAAAAACAAATCGACAGCTTTGAAATTCACCATTTGCTCGTTGAAACTTAAATAAAGCAGCGGAATTCCGACGAAAGAATCAAATTCTCGGTCAGTCAAAAAAAGAATTAAAATATATAATTAAAAAAAAAGTGGATGCAAAAAAAGTTTAGTATGCAAATAGTTGAATAAAAATGTAAAATATGCAAAGAAGAGAACGGAATAGAGTAAAATAACAATGGAAAAACGTAAAAAGCATAAACGCAGCTGGGAGACGCAGGATTCGATTCGAGCAATCAATAGCTGTCCGCAGAATTTCGGTCCAGGAAATTTGAATAGCAACCAAGAGAAAGCCATTGATGTTGTGCTATCAGTACGGTGCCATGTATATCATCTTTCTCGACAGTACACTATTGGTTCTCTTATGCGCTCTCTCTGGGTCATTGTCTCCCTTTGCTAGATCTCAGTAGCATGCAAGCACGTTTGAACCCCATTAATGGAATGCTTCCGTACCAGCTATTCCGAGAGAGATTATGTACATTTAATTGAAATAAATTCCTTTATTAACATATATATACATATCTACAATTATTATATATCTTTGTTATACGTTTAATAAATTATTCCTATCCAACTATTACATCTTATCTTATTTATATCAAAATTGTACATTATCATTTTTTGATCAATTAGTTTGAGGAAAAATTATTTATTTTTTATTTGAAAAAAAATTATACTATTATTAATAATTTACTTCTACGCTGAAAAAACAATTAAGTTGGCTCAAGAACAATATTCATTAAATATTGAGCTGAAAATTTTTTTTGGTTTAAATAAATTTTACTTTACTTGAGAATTTTTCTCTCGAATCAAATTAATTTTTTTTTTTTCAGTGTTAAATCACTCGCCAGCTGAAAAAAATACAAAAAAGCAGCGATGAGTTGACAATTGTAAACCAATTTCAATGTATGAATATCGTTGCAATTTATTTTTTATCGATTTTAAACTCTCAAAGTAATTTAACCTTTTTTTCTTTTTAATTTAAAATCCTGCTTTCGATACTACAAAAAATATAATTAAATAAAAAAATTTTAAATCGTTATTTTTCTTCATTTTTAACGACTATTGTTTACAGAGATATTTAATATGCTATCACTACAATGATGAAGGATAATTTTTTTATCCTCAATTATAAAAAAAATAATTTATATTAAATATCAATTTTAAGTGTAAGAGAAAACCTTGCTATAGATGTTGATATAAAAAACTGCATAAAGAAATTTGATAATTGTGAACGGGAAGAATATTTCAACAAATAATAATAATAATAATAATAATAATAATAATAATAATAATAATAATAATAATAATAATAAATATTTTAGCTTCAATGCTGCGGTATCGAAGGACCGAAGGACTGGGATCGCAACAACTATTTCAACTGCTCCTCGAGTGAGATTGGATCGAGTGAAGCCTGCGGCGTGCCTTTTAGTTGTTGCAAGCGGGAGCCCAACGTGAGAAGTGTAAACCATAATTTGATTAGTATACCACTCGTCAAATACTCATTCATGTCCTCGTTTTCAATCATCATCCTCACTATACTCACTACTCACTACTCGGCATTCTCACTCACGCACGACAACTTCTGATATTTGTTGTACATGTTTCATTTGCCGAGCATGCATCAATTCATATCGATTTTACATGATTTAGTACCATTCAATTTACGTTAAATCATCCGACAATATAATTATACTCAACACTTGAATTTACCCACTGCAATAACACAAACCCATTGACAGCCTTTAATTATTCATCAGCCTCATTGATTTATTCATTCATTTATTTTTACAGGAGATCACCAAAAATAAACAGTGTGGATACAACGTCAGAAAGCCTGGAAATGTAAGCTTTTTTTTATTATTTAGTTTATTCAATAAGGGTTTCTTTCTTTTAATGATAAGATTTGAAAAAAATATTTAAGATAATCGGCTGCCCAATTTCAAAACACAGTAACTAACAATTTTAAGATTTTTAAAAATTTTTCTTATTAAAAAAAAGTTTGCGCGTCCAATTGATAAAAAATTTGATTTATGAATAGAAAATACATAGATATAAATATTTTTAAGAAAAAATACTTGAAATTAAGGTCTAAAAGTCATAAGAAATGCAGCAATACTAAACAAAATCAGGCATAAAAATTTTGCAGTTACTGTGTTTTAAAATTGGGCATATTATTATTAAATAATAAAATTAATTTTTTTTTTTTTAGAGTTTTTTTGCAAATTTCAATTTTTCTCTTTTTATGAAAAAAAAGTTTTAATTAAAAGAGAAAAATAGACATTTTTTTATTGTTTATTTTTTTTCTATAAAAAAAAAATTATTAATTGCCTTTAAAGCGAATATTCACTTGAAATTTTCTATAAAATTGAAAACTTTACAATGACTGATAAAAAAAATTAAAATTAATGTATTCGCATACAAAATAAAAGTACAAAAAAAAGCAATTTATCTTGGTACTAACAAAATTCTTACTCTAATTTTAATTCTCATTTCGTCCCTGTCTCAGTCCTCGGAAACTAGAACTCGATGGTGGCTGTTTGTCTGTAAAGATTTCGGGTTCTATAATTGCTTGGTACGGGATGTAAAGCGCGATAAGACAAGTTAAATACCGAGTTCTACGACCTGGGTGATTAAAACGTCTACCGTCGAGTATAAACGATTACGATTAATTAATAATATACTTAATTAAATAATAAAATTGCCCTTTACTTCCTTAACTTGCTCGTTAGTGGCCCGTCGAGATTTATTTTTATTTTATTTAGGTAACCGCGCATAAAAGACGAAGTTGCGATACTCGGATAACTAGCCGGAGAAAATTTTATTTGTAAAACAAATAATTAATATCTTATGAATATTTAAATTAGTGAGCTTTAAATGCTAAGCGTTTAACTTAAATATAAAGTAATATTTGATTATTTTATTTGGTTGGAAATGCAGCCCGGAGAGAGGAGTATATTTGAGCGAGGGTGCTTGAGGGCAGGCGAAGAATGGCTAGAACTAAATCTCGTCCCTGTAGCCGGCACTATTGTGAGCACGATGGTGCTCCAGGTATTTTATACACCTAATTACTTATTTTAAAACTACGTAAAATTTTTTATTGTATTCATGTGTAACTTATTTGCCGTTGCACTGTTTTGTAGTGGAAATTTTTTTATTACATTCGTTTTTTTTTTAAGCTGGCATGAGCTTTCTTTGTAGCGTAGGTGTTTTTACAATTTTTTTTTTATTTTATAGATACTTTTATAATGAAAGCAGCAAAGTTCTTATCGTAGTTCTAATTATTTTTATTATTAAATTTTTATAAAAAGATATCTTTTATTTGAATGGAATTTTAAATTTTTACTCGAAGAAATTAAACAACAGTCGCAGAAAATTTGGTACAAGTATTAATTTTTTATTAAAAAATTTTTAAAGTTAAAAAAAAAGGAAAATAATTATAATTATTACTAGTATTTATGATTTGAAATACAATAAAAGCATCAAGTATTAAAATTAACTAATAAACAGCAACTTAAATCAAAAATAGTTATTAAAAAACTTTACGTGAAGTATTAAACTGAAAAAAATCATTCTTGTCAATAAAAGCTCGGATTTTCAAATGATTCTCAATTAAAAAAAAAGTTCTAATTATAAAAATCCCACTTAAAAAAAAAATCAATTTTTTAAATAAATCTCAAATTTAAAAAAAAAAAAAATGACAGCATACTTAGTTCCTTCCACCTTTTAAATTAAACTTTATTTCTTCGACTGAAAAAAGAAAAATTATTATCTAGAAAAGGATTTTTTGGTTGAAAAATTTGTCAAAATAAACCATTTAAATTTAATTGTTTTACAATAAATATAAATTAATTTCTGCCTTCAGTATGAATTTTTCAAATCAGAAAATGTATTCTTAATATTGATCAATAATATATCAAAATAAAATCAATAATACCCTTATATCACTAAAATTTTCTCAATAGTAGTATTTTTTTCCTTATTACAGAAAAATCCTCAGATTATAAAAATAAATAAAATTGGTTTTCCGTTAAAAAGCATCCCTCACAAAACTCATCACAATGAAATTTCCCGCATCATCTCCTCCAAGCGCCCACAACTTATCCCCTTAGTCCCAAAATTTATCGACAGGAAAAATCGCGGCGCATAAAAAACAAAATTTTTCCAATCGAAAGCCCCGTAAAATGAAACAAATCGTTAATTAATGACCACTGGAGCACCCACTCGTAAGTAACAGCCATAAAAACATCCTTTAAAAAAAAAAAGAGTTATCAATAATCAATAACCGATGATCCCAGTGTATCCGATGTGGTCTGAAGAAACGCGGAGCTATATAACAACAATAACTCCAATGACAATAAATATTGTCGCGAAAGTAGCATTATATCTATCTATCGGTTTCCCGACCCGGCATTCACCCGCGCCACCGGTTTTATATTAGGTATAAAAGCAAAACCATAAAAGCCGATAATGTTTCCGGTGTTACGATTGAAATACCAGGCTACTCCTCGTTGTAAGTAAAACTATAAACATACACCATAAATATACATACACACTGACATATATACATGAGTAAACACAGAAATATACGAACGATAGAAGCAACGACAGAAAATATCGCGTTTATTTCAGCTGAACATGCAATCCAATATTTTTTTCCTCCACTTGTTTTTCATGCATGCATTATTATTATTATCATTATCATTATTATTATTATTATTATTATTATTATTATATCTATGCAATCGCGACATAAATTAAAAATCGGTACACTAGAGGATGTACGGTAGCGTCTCGTTGAATAGCGCGACTGAGGACTGAGCTAATACAACTTTTGTAAATACATTGTTTGCTGAATAATAATATACACAATAATTTTTTTTATTTCATTTTTTTTAAACTCCGGTCCTCTCATCTATTTTATCCAGCATTTTATTTATATACTCTTTACTTTAACTCTGTACTCTATGCGCGGCTTTTTATTCTTATGTTCGGGGATGTAATAAAAAATGTTCAAAAACCCGAGATAAAAATCCTTACAGCCAGTTTAACATCCCACCCTCTACTCGATGTTAATGCTTTAGAATTCACAGTAGTTGTACACCGAGCTACGACTGTGTCATCAGCAAACAAAAATAAAGATAAATGGTTAATTGCTAATAAAATAAAAATAAAAAATAAGTAATGTTGTATGGTAAGCATAAGCATTATTGTCTACGACTAGACCACTGTTTATTTTACAGACTTCGGACGTTTCTATTTACGAAAAGGGATGCATACAAGCCGGCGAGGAGTGGATGGAGAAAAATTTACTCGTTATTGCTACCACCGCAATTATTACTGCTTTTGCTCAGGTATTTTTTACTCATTTTTTTTTTAGTTCTGTTATTGATGGGCACTTTTTCCGGCTCAAGGTAAGATTAAGCGGACTTTATTTGCGCTAAAGCAAGCCTGATTTTGTTGCTTCGTAACCGTAACCATTATTACGGAAGCTTTATGCTACTTGCTGCATGTTATAGTTATGGAGGTTGTGATTTATAGGGTAGTTTGTTTAACTGATTGTTGGAGTGTCAGAAATAAATGAAAGTGTCTTCCTGATTTTTTAGAGGGTGAATTATTGAATGTAAAAGGTTTTTATTTATTATTTAAATCAACGGCTTGGGTTGAAATTTTTAAACATACTGAGAAAAAATAAAAATAAAATTTACATTAAATTAAAGTCATTACTAACTTTATCGATTGCGTTATTCAATGTTATTTAAATTGGCCAATTATTTTCCGAGATAACAACACAAGTTTTATAGTGAATGATTACGAATATTAAATTCAAAAAGCTTATTAAACTTTAATACTGATATCAATTACTTTTATTAAAATTACTGCACTGAAAAAAATGTAGCTTGAGTGAAAAAAAAAATCTTGAATCAAGATAAAATTTCCTTTAAAAATATCTAAATAATTTTTTTCTCTTGAATAAAAAGAGCTTTATGCTCAAAAGCATAAAGAAGCTATCTCTTTGAGCTCGGAGAGCTCAAAATAACACAGAATTTCCTAATTTTTTTACATTATATTTTGTGGGTATAATCTTTTATTTTCATTTACTGACTACTTCAAAATTTTCTAAAAATTCACCTTCTAAAAAATCAAAAATTGATATATTTAACATATTACACATAAATAAGAAAAAAATAATGATAATGTTTTTAATTATTTTTTCCAGATATTGGGAATATGTTTTGCGCAAAATCTACGCGCTGACATATTTGCACAAAAAGCAAAGTGGCACTGACAATCAAGAGCCCCCACGGCAGTCTAGCATCTCATACTCCTGGGTGCTGATCGATCGCGTTGAATAAACTTCGCCATGTATAACTATATATTCACAAACATAAATATATATATATATATATATATATAAATATATACATATATGTGGTGCGTGGTATAAAGTCGCTATTGCTACTACTATTGCTGCTATTACTTCAAATATATAAAATACATTGACATTCATATATATACATCATAGCTACTTGAAAAATCTACCACAAGTAAACATCTTTATTTGTCAACTGCACTTGTCACCAAATCAACTTCCAGCTAAAAGCCAACCTCTTTTTCCTTCAAATAAAACTCCCAAACTTTTTCATTTTACTTTATTGATCAAATAATTAACCGACTTTTTCCGTCCAATAATTCAGATTTATAATTAACAAAAAATATTGTTGTTGTTATTATCAATAAAATAATTACTTTCTTAGTTAATAAATTACATGGTCATTTTTTGAATGAATTTTACGGGACTAAATATGTAAAATTCAAAAATTATTTGATCAATAATTAATATAAAAAAATTTTTTTTAAGTTACAAAATTTTCGATTTTTTTTTTTTTTTTAATTTCAAAGTTTTTACCGGTAAATTTTTTTCTGAATTTTTTAATAAGAAAAAAAAATTTTGAATTTTAAGAGAAGAAAAATTCAATCATTTTACAAATTTTTTTGGTCTCAATAATTTAAGAAAATTATCAAAATTCTAAAATATTTAATTTTATTATTATAGAAAAGTATTTCAAAATTGAAATTAAATTTTGGCAACTTAAAATAAATTTTTTTTTTTGTATCACAGCCTTTAAAAATTTAATTTAAGCGTAAAATAAAAACAAGTGTACCGACAAACAGAGATGTTTCGATGAACTTTTGATCAACGCGATGTCGTGGGGGCGCAACGAGTTTTTTTCCGGCCGATCTCGTTGCATTTTTGTCCTATTATTTCGCTTTGCGAATAGGCCATTAATAATTACTATATAATAAATGATTTAGTTGATAAATAAATAAATAGATAAATAAATGAATAATTTAACAATTATAAATAATAAGAAATGAATTTATTTGATAAGTTAGAGTATCTCGCTGAAAATTTTAAAAGACTATCGATTTATCGATTTATATATTACAAATATATTTAATTGAAAGCGTGATTTTCAATCGGTGCTATTGTAGCATTATCGATTCTAGAAAATAAAAATTATAAATACTGTGTTTTTAAATTAAATTAAATATTCTGAAATTAACGAAAAACAATAGACTAATTATCGAAATATCTACAGTCGACATTATTTTATAAATAAATATACCAAGAGATTGTTGACTGCGATTATATTTATAACAAAGGGTCCATTTAAATTATTATTAATATTCATAATTAAAATTTATCATAAATTCGAATCAATTTATAAAAACACTCTTATTTGAGATATTTTTATTTATTTTATTTAATTTTTTCAATAATTGATCATTGGTTTGAATTTATGACAAACTTTAACAATTATTTATTAATTTTTGTGTCGTTTAATCAAAATAAACGTATGCTGCCCTCGAATTATCTCATCGCAAAATAAAAACACTGGCTTTATTTATTTAAGCACGCGATTTTGAGATAAAGCTATTTTAATTAATGTGTAAATGAGTACGTATAGAGTTAATTGTGTAATAACAAAACGTTGTTATTGACTATATGGATTATTAATAATTACATTAATAAAAAATATATTATATTAATATGGGTTGATAAAATAAACTATCAACTTGAGGAGTAAGTGTGTAGGTAAATGCTTGACGTAGTTTTGTTATCTATTAAATTGACAATGAGTGAAAACTCAATACTAGTTGTAGATAATACATTACTTTAATGTCTTAATCAAAGTCATTATACACATAAGATATAGAAACTCTACCGTGATCTAATTACTGCGAATAAAAGTGAAGTAAAGATGATAAATTACATTGATTTTAATATTTAAAATAAATTCTATTCATTTAAGAGTCTACTTTATTGATTTTGTTTCATGATAATTTATAAAGATGGCAGTAGTGCGCCGACTTTAGAACTATACTTGAAAATGGCGTTTTTTTAGTACAAATTTTTTTTTTTTTTTTTTTTTTTTTTTGTAAATTTGTAATTATACACGGAAAAAAGAGGAAAAATTAGTTTTTAGGGTAAAAATAGGCCCCTTGTAGAAAAAACTGCAAGCGTTACATTTTACACTGTAATAATTGTAACTATGGATTATAATAAAACAATGACAATTGGAAATACCAAATTTTACAATTTCAAACTAGAGAAACTTGGCTGATATTTAAAACTGTAATAAATTTAATTTTTTCACTTTTATTTTTTCCGTGTGGAAAAACATTTAATAAATTATAATATTTTAAAACTTCTACTTAGATTTTTAGTTTAAAATTTTTAACAGAATCCACATCTCTCATCTTCATTTCAATTTTCCGTCTAAAAAACGTGATTTTACATTGTATTACATTAAGAGACTTGATTAAATTTTTAATTAAAAATTTAATAAAGTCTACATTCCAGAGAATCAGTTGTGAAGGCTGTGTTGTCTAACTTGAATTGAATATAATAATTAATGAATAAATAAATAAAAACATTGAATTAATTATCACTAATTAATAGATAAGCAAAAGCATCAAATTAGCCATTGAGTTTGTTTGATATTATTTAGTTATTTTATATATTTAATATGCCTGATCCGATATTCCTTGATGTATTTTATTAAAATATGTATTATTATTATTATTTGATGAATATACGGGTCATGTTTATTAAAATGAGTTTACTTTAAAAAAAAGCAATGAATTAATAATCAATTTTTTTTAAAGTTTGCCCATTTTGTGCCTCATAATTATTTTAAATATAAATCAGTCTTTGTATACAATAATATAATGCTAAATTACTGCCGCCGATATACATATACAATAAAAAAAATATATATATATATATATATATATATAAAAGAAAATGAATATCTATGTACATTGAAATGTAAATGCCATGATTTAATTAATAACGTGCGAGTGATTAAACGGGTGCTTATGTATAAATAATTTAACTTTGATATTTAAATTGTCATTGTGTGCTTGTGAGAAAAATTATTTCTATCTTTACTAAAAAAAAAGTACATCATAAAACATTTTTTTTCTATCCTTTGTGATTATTCTTCATTTTTAAATTAATTTTAATGTTACTGAAGAAAACTTGAAACAAAAGAGCTGGAAAAACTTTGTTGATCTAATTAATTAGACTGATTTAAAAAAAAAAAAAAACTTCCATAATTAATAATGAAAATTTTTTTGTTAATTAGAAATCAATAAATTAATGTTAAATTTTTTAGATCAGCTAGTGATTGCAGTGGCATTCAAATTTAAAAAGACGGTAAATTTGAATGTTCCTCCGAGATTATGAACTATTGTCACTAAAAAGAAAACAAACATGGCATTTTGTATTTTTGATGATTGAATAAAATGATAAAATGTATAAGAAGGAGTAATAATGTTTAAAAAATTGTAAATACTGTATATTTATTTGTAAAGATAATAATTAAAAATGTATTGCTTGACCAACTAAATTGTAACATAAATAATTGTTGGGTATTGTATGATATTGCTTTCTAAAAATTTGAGCTGCAATTATCTTCCGCGTATTGATCAATCATATATTTATGTATAAATATAATATTGATAATGATAATGGTAATAATAACAATAACAGTGGAATAGAATTTCAAATACAGTTGAGAAAATGGAAATAATTATAATTATTTATTAATTATGATTATGAGTTACGTTAATTTTGGATTTATTTAAATGTTTATAAATATTGATTTTGTATACAAACGATTTTACTCTTACCATCAATATTCGTAAATACGCACATTGTATTATGTGGTATATATTTATTTTTAAATAAAATAAGTCAATGAATCGAGAATTCAAATTGACAATTTAGTAAATTAATCTACAAAAAATATATTTTATTTATAAATACAATGGATGACTTTAAAATAATTGAGCGTAATAAATACTGATCTGATCTGTTGTAAAATGAATGAATCTCTAAGGATAAATTGTAAATAAAAATAATTGTTTTAACTCTAGTTTATAAGTTTCAAATGTACTGTTTTTATCAACTAAATGAATTATTGTGTATTTATACTGAAATAAATAATAATAACAATATTAGTATGATAAATGTTTATGCTCTTCATTAAATATTTCTTCAATTTTTGATCTTAAAATTTGATTTCTTCGATTAAATAAAATCATATAATAACAATTTACTATTATGAGTCATATCTTTTAAATGTTTTTGGTGTTTTAAATCAATAACAATCGGAGATTGAATCAATCAAATTCATAGATTGCTATCAGAATCAGAGAGGTTAATTACCAATTTCTCATCGTCGCTACTGTCTGTTGGCTCCTTGTTTATATCCAAATCACTTGATTGGTTTAAATCTCTACCATGACGAATAACACTCACTCGATTACTTTGATTGCCCCGCGATGTACTTGGTTGATCGTACACCCAAGTGTCTACAGAATAATACGTCGGCTTATGAATAACATTTGTGGACCCAGGTTCTGGACCCAGGATCGAAATTTTTTTAGTGGCAATCTTTGATTGAAGACTACTTGCCTTTTTAGCAGCAGGTTTATTTGTACTTTTGGTGCCAAGTTGAGTTAGTGATAAGTTATGGAAATTTTTAGCCAAATTTAAGACTTCTTCTTTGTACAACTTGCTTGCTAGTATCCACTGCAGCATAATCTTGTTAGAATAATCAGCACAAACGTTCTTACGAGGGTTGGGATGTGAATGATATTTACACTTAGATTCAGGCAACGCGCTGATTTCTTGTGCAAGATCGTAACCATATTCAGATAGACAAATGATGTTTTCGTAATTGAAGATAAATTTATTGAGCAAGTGCTGTTTCT